CCCCCCCCCGCCCACCTGCCCACCCGGGAGCGGGGCTAATTTTAGGCTGGTGTTAATGAAGCTGCTCGTTTGGAAGTTTATTTTAAGGGCCCTGACATCAGCAGTCGCTGTTTTGGGAGGTGGAGAGCCCTGGAGTGGCCAGCCCTGAGAGCCGGCGGGGGCACGGGGTGGGCTGCACCCTCCCGCTCAGCAGCACCCGCACCCCCACCCTTAGGGTCCACCGTGCCCTATAGGAGCTCTGTGCTTTGGGGTGCGACGATGGGGACTTGGGGTGCCGTGGTGAGGATTTGAAGGTGCCATGGTGGGGAGCTGGGGGTGCCGTGGTGGAGATTTGGGGGTGCAATGGTGGGGACTTGGGGGTGCAATATTGGGGATTTGAGGGTGCAGTGGCAGGGATTTGGGGGTGCAATGGTGGCAATTAGGGGTGCAGTGGTGGCACTTTGGGTTTTGGCAGCACCATGCAAGTTAGGGGGCTGCCCCCCTCCCCATCACCTCTATCAGGACGCTGAAGTCCCTGTGTCTCCCCAAAACACCCTCTCCCTCCCTGCAGGACTCCGCTGAGCCCCCTGTGCCATTATCTAGGAGCAGCCCAGCCTGCGGGAGTAGTGGGGCTGTGGGACGCCGGCGGCAGCTCCTGGCCACCGCGTCGCCTTGTTTTCCGTGGGCGAGCAGCCCGGGCGCGCTCGCTTTGTTAGATAAGCTGCCGCCCCGCAAGCACACGGGGCTCGCGCCCGCCTGCTCGCTTCCCCCCCACTGCATGAACTCAGGGTGTATTTTGGGGTGGGGGGCTGAACCAGAGGGAAGGTCTCGCTTGCCCTGCTGGTTGTTCCTGCTCCCGGGGGGATTTGGGGATTTGCTCTTCCCGCTCCCATCCCTGTGTCCCCGTCTAACGCAAGCTGCTCTTGTTCGCAGGCATGAGCCATGAGCCGAAGTCGCCGTCCCTAGGAATGCTCTCCACCGCCACCCGCACCACTGCCACCGTCAGCCCCCTCACCCCCTCGCCGCTCAACGGCTCCATCGTCCCCAATGGCAGCCCGGCAGCCAGCAGCACTTTGTCCGTCCAGGCAGCACCTTCCTCCAGCTTCGCCGCTGCTCTCCGCAAGCTCGCCAAGCAAGCCGAGGAGCCCAGAGGTAGGGGACGATGATGGGGACGGGGACTGGGGGAGTGCTGAGCGTCAGTGCCTTTCCCCGCCGCCGCCACCCGGGAGCCGGCAGACGGTGTTTTCTTGCCATTTCCCGAGCTAATGTCTTTCCCCGGCGTCATGTCTCGAGGGGGCAGTTTAGAAATTCAGTTCAGCCAGAGTAATCCAAATGCCGTATCACTCGCCGTACCCCGGGAGAAAGTCTGCGAGAGTGCGGCGCGGGGGGACCTGTCCCTCCCTCCCTGCCCCCCCAGCTCCGCTCCCTCCAGCCACGCTTCACTGAAATGCTGTTTTTTTCCGGAGGCTCCTCAAATCTGTTCCTTCCCCAGCCAAATTGCCCGGCTAAACAGCAAATTTGGGCACCCCCGGGATGTCCCTGTCCCTCATCACCCTGCAATGGCCCAGCCACCGCATCCTCCGTTGCACCCTCCCTCTCCATTCGGGTGCAGGGGTGCAGCTCGCGATGGGGGGTGTGAGCTGCTGCCGTGGTGCCGGAGCACCCCGAGGTCCCTGCCACCGCGGGGAGCGTGTCCTGTGGGAATCGCGGGGGCTGTCCCACATGCCCAGGGGGAGGCAGCCTGCCCCCCGGGCTGCGAAGCGTTTCACCAGGAGACTGCTGGCATCATCAATTTGCAACGAAACAGTATTTATCCCTGGTATTTCCATTGGCGGGTGCTCCCTGTTGGGTCGTCGCGCCCACCGCCTGGGCACTTTGGTCCCTGGGGAGGACGCCCGACCCTTTGCAAGATGTTTTTTGCAAGGCCCTGTTTGCAAGGTCTTTTTGGAAGACCCTTTTTGCAAGATCCTTTTTGGAAGATCCTTTTTGGAAGGCCCTTTTTGCAAGACCCCTTTTGCAAGGCTCTTTTCAGAAGACCCTTTTTGCAAGCGCCATCTGCAAGACCCTCCTCGCAGCCCCCCCAACCAGCTGCGAAATGCCCCGGCACGGCCGTGACCCCAAGCCTCCGGCGTTGGCTGCTCCCGAGGAAGCACGTGGGAATGCCGGGGTCCCCGTGACGCCGAGGGGACCAGGTCTTGGGGATGCTTCGGCCTTGCTGCGAGCTCCACGCTCTCCCCAGCTGCCTGCTCTGGAGCCCATCGGCTTCTTTTGGGGTGGTCAGTTGGGTTTGGGGGGATTATTTTGCCTTTTCTTCTCCCCACACCCCACGGCTCATACTCCCACCGCGCTGCTCAGCCCATCCGAAGGGACGTCGGTGGGTTTTGGCATGGATTTTGTGGTGCTGGAGAGGAGAAGCCGTGTTCCCTTTGGATTTCCCCTTAATTACTGCATAGTTTGTTTGCAAAAAAACCCCCTGTCCTTGCCCATCTGGGTGCCTGAAGTGGCTTATCCCGGAGGTTTTTAGTAGGCGTGGGTTTGGGTGCCTGTCGGGAAGGGGGTTTCTCTCCACACCATGGTTTTTACCCCCAGGAAATGAATTGCTTTGCCCCCCAAATTCTCACCCCGCTTCCCTTCCCACAACGGGAGATGCTCCGCCGTGGCAGATGCAGCCGATGGGGTGATGCCGACCGGCTCCACCCAGGATCCGGCGGCTTTTTTACCGGCTTTATGGACCGGCAGTTGTGCCGCGGCCGGGGCATCTGTAGGGATATCGTGCTCCCCCGCAGCATCCCCGGCTGCAGGGGCTCCTCCCGACCG